TGGTTACTACGTTTGTAAATTTTAACACGGCATTTCTTCCAAGGTTTTGATTGGCCTTTAACGTTACAAAGAAAGCAGGCTTCAATTCTGAAAGTGAAAAAAAAACACAATGTAGTATATCATAGCTTTACGTGTGTTAGCATTTTGATTGTCCTTCTTGTTCTTTATTGATATAATTACCAAAAATTTACTATGAATAGTTGTCGTGTATTCATATATGATGAATCGATTAGGTACTGTCCTAAGATCACAATTAATCACCCCTATTTTCGTTGTCCATATAGTTCCCTTTAATCATAGTGTATTATTTCTGATTTTTTTTCTTTCCCTTTTACATTAATTTCTACGTTTTTATGGGCTGGATATGAAAGAAGTGAGTTAAAATAAACTTTTGTATGTTTTACTTTAACTGTTCAGTGGTTAGGTCTGGTGCAAAAAAGGTAATATTTACATTTTTCAGAACATTTCATGCCTTGTCTTTACCAGTAAGGATGTGTAATGGCTTAATTAGTCAACTGGGTCAGTGTCCTTTTTCTAAATTTCGGATCTATTTTGGGCTTTGTACTAAGCATTACACATCCCAAAAAATTTGCAGAAACCGGTAATGAGATTTTTAAAATGTGACAAACCGTTACGAATAACAAATAGAGGAAATTAATTGTGGTCTATAGCCTTCTAAATGGTAGAATCGGGCTTATCGAAATCAATGAAACCACGTTCAACGAACAGCATGTTTACTAGACTAAAACACAATGATGATACAGATCAAAGTCAATACATCAAAAAGAGATTAGAACAAATAAGGATATAAATTCCAGTAATGATTGATAATGTCCCATTTATACATATATATCATGTATATCTGATATCCTTACATATATATCATGTCATAATTCTAAAATTTTATCCTTAAACCAATTTGGAAATCAACTTCGTTCCTGGTCATATACGTTTTTGGGAGATGATTATTTGGTCAATGAATACACTACAAGTGTATTTACTTGACATAATAACGATATAAGGATACGGCTTTGAAAAGTGGAAAATGCGATGCATTTTCTACGTTTCATGCCGACACCTTATATTGTTATTATGCCAATCAATAATTAAACTCACCATAGATACCATGCTTATAATTTTGCACGCAAGACGCGCGTGTCATCTACAAAAGACTCACCAGTGACGCTCGAATATAAAAAATTAAAAGGTCAAATAAAGTACGAAGTTGAACAGCATTAAGGACCCAACATTCAGAAGGTTATGTCAAATTAAGGTAAGGTAATCTCTTTCTGGGGTAGCAATTAAGAAACATTCAAAGTTTTGTAAACAGTTAACTTATAATTATTTTCGTATCAATGATAGTTCTTGTCAACACAGCAGGACTGACTACTGGGATGGTGATACCATCGGATAGGAGAGGAAACATCTCCCAGCAGTGGCATCGATACAGCGGTTGTAAATTAGCTCATCACAGATACCAGACCCAACTTCGAAAGGCTTTGCCGAATACAGCTAAGGTAACCTATTTCCGGGGTAGAATATCCTTAGTATTTCAACAAATACGTTTTACACTATTGATGACTTCAGACTGCAATCTCAAACAGTTTATACCCCTTTTGTGTTAACATTTTTTATAGGTTCACCTTAGAAAACGTCGTTCAGTTTGCCGGAGTGAAATTGTCATATATTAAAAATTCGATGTTAAAATCATGCAACTCATGCGGTCGGAAGAACGAGTGCGGCAGATTTCAGATTAGAATATAAAAAAAGAGAAATGAATATCAGAAATTAAACAACTTTATCAAACAACAAAAAGAAGAAAATATATTTTGTATAATTGTTGATAGAAAGATGTGGATAATCGTGTTTATGTCGGTGACCGCCTAGCGGAAGTGTGTACATTTCATTACACATTTCAAAGTGATAGGCGTGGCCTAACGAATTATACGATCAGTGGCTTCATATCACATAAAAATATACAGTCAATTTATTTTACCTCAAATAAAACGAATGAAGTATACAACGCGATCATAACAATACTCAATAAGAAACTTATTTAACACTGGAAATTCATTTTATATCAATATTTTGGGAAAAATGAAGATAACCTATTGTTATGTGTAATGAATATAATTTTGTACCAAACAATTCACACATAAGAACAATTCTTCAAACAGATAACTTCGTCAACATAAAGTTTAACATCTTCCTCAAGCTTTAATGATTTGAAAACATCTTTTAGTTTCGTTTTAACGAGATTCGTCATTTTTGTTTCTATAGCTCTGTTGACATATTCTTTGACGTGTTCATCAGCTTTCGACAGGTCGATCATCGCTACGAGAGGTGCATTTTGATTATGAAGCAATGGCGCCGTCATTTTGTTGTTACAGGACTCTGTTTGACATAAAACAGAAGCGACAAATCCAGCAATATGGAAAAGTAAAATGTCGTTCATTTTCTCGTTTGATATTTTGCTGTGTCTTTTAAGTTCGAGTGCTGATTGTAAATAAAATCATCTTTATATGAAGTGGTTGAAAATGTATAAAGTATTTACATCCGATCTTTCCGTAATTAGAAAATAATGTAAACAAACCTCTTGTATCTAAATACGCATTAATAATTCATATTTTATAAAAATCACACTCTAATCCAAATACTGAAAATAAATGAATTGGGATATAAATGTACTAGTATATAAAAAAATGATTGAAGATAAAAAGATACTCAATAAATAGATATAGTGAAATAAATAAGACAAAATTAGATTGATTGCTTCATTGTTGCTTTGATTGATTTGTATTCGTTGGCAAATATTTCATGTTTCCAAAACAATTGAAAAACAAGTAAAATAAAAAAAACCCTGAACTCCGAGGAAAATTCGAAACGAAAAGTCCATTTTTAAATGGCAAATTCAAAATCTTAAACACATCGAAAGAATGGATAGCAACTGTTGTATTCCTTGTTTAGGTCTGGCATTTCCTAATAGAAACAATGGTAAATTAAACCTGGAAATTAGTATCTTTATCTAAAATGTTCGAAGGTAAATAGGGCTGTCTTTCTATTTACACAAAATGTACATATTTCACGATTTATCTACTAATGGTGCGATCTCATTTGTTTGAGAGTATCTTTGTAAATATTTTTACGAAACGTGTATTTCAATACCTCGTGCTGTAAGAATTACATTGTTTTTGCCATGTTAGGGTACTCCCTCAGGCAATAACTTAAATAGGGGTACTTTATTCGATTGTTGCAAAAAAGAAAAAAAAAAAAACAATGACTATTGCATTTTCAGTGCCAATAAAACACCATCATTCATCTACGTCGAAACAATGTGTAAAACCTTCTTTTATATAACCTCGTTCTGATTATTCATGAAGTGTTCTCGATTAACTTTTCATCGGCTGGAAAAACTAATCAGTACTGAATATCTATATCTTAAACTTTAGAAAGATAAAAAGAATATTTTTTACACAAAATGTATCTAACCTCGTTCTGTGTATGCATGAAGTGGTCTTATATAGCCTTTCATCAATAACAAAAACTGATTTAATTTAATTGGGGGAAAAAGACATATTAGGCATTGACAAAAATGGCTTCCTTTATTACCGTATTCTACCATGAAAATATTGTGTTCATGTATTTGTCTTTATTGAATATAAAATACATGTAATACACATATAATAAGAAATATTTCTCTTTATTTGTGAAAGCAATTATTTCTGTGATTTAAAAAAAAATCTCGATTTTGAATACCTCAACATTTTACGTTTATCATTATAAATACATCGCAATGTGCATTCCTGTATAACGATAAACATTGTCTGCATATTTTTGATTGATTTTTGATTTTTCAATGTCCAATAACAAATTCCTCATGGACTATTCTGAGATAATGTATTTCTGCTAATGCTTACATTGAAACTGCTAAAAGGCAAACTCTCGAACGGTTTATAAATTTTTGTCTCGAGCATTCTTGAAAACAAAACGAATGATATCTGTTAATGTCAATATCTTTGTTTTCTTTGTGTGTTTTCTTTACAACAAGACAATCATTATAACGGAACTTTTGTTTTCATTTCATAAGACAAAGTGTTTACATTATGAAGGTCAGACACTTTAATTATGAATAATTACAATCCGTACTTTTCTATGGATGACAATCGCTAGGTCATTTTGTAGGTAATCCCGAATTACATTTAATTTCTTCCTGAAATGCAACATTTATGACTGCAAGTGATTCTGATAACAATGCCATAAAATTTCTAGAAAAAAAAACACGACAAGCTTGATATAATGATATGATTATCTATAAGATATATGTGATTAAAGCATTCGATTCTTTGATAAAATATAAAGCAAACGAACCATTTTGATAATATCCAGTAAAAAGGACATTCAAAGTCATGAGTCGAAAACAAACTAACAATGTGTCTATCCTAGTTCAGTCGTTGTCGTTGGTTCATGTTTGTCATATTTGTTTCTCGAAAATTTTCCTGTAATACACTAGGCCGCAGGTTTTCTCAATTGAATCGTTTCATCTTTTTCATGTTAAGTCTTTTATAGCCGACCACACAATATGGGGTTTTCTCATTGTTGAAGGCAGTAAGGTTGCCTATAATTGTTTATATATATTTCAATGAACTTTGATGGATAGTTGTCTCATAGATAATCATACCACCGTATTTTTATTATACCGTGGCCAAAAATTAAAAAAAAAAACGATGCAAGGACAACAGCTCATTAAACACAACATAGACAATTAGGACTAAAAAGCACGAACCCCACCAAAATCCGGAGTCTGTTCGTCTGGATGGGTAGAATTCTAAATTATTATCTCAAATTGTATTACAATATTGGTTCTTGAATTCCCCCTAAAAAACTCTAACAGTAAACAGGTCAAACAATTTGTTGAATGTTCTAAAAAAACATATGATATTGTATACACAAGTTAAGATGACATATCGAATAAACGTATAAATTGAAAACTATGCGTTGATCTTTAATAGCAACATAATGAGTACATCATGGACATCTGTTACATGTAAGCTGGCAAAAGATTTTTAAGTCAATATTGCACACAAACATATCGCATGTAATACGTGGATCATCCATGTAGGGATGTTTTGTAACAGTTGTTCCAATTGTCGAAGCAGTTGTTCCCATTGTTGTAGTAGTGGTTCCCATCGTTGTAGCAGTTGTTCCCATTGTTGAAGTAGTTGTTCCAATCGTTGTAGTAGTTGTTCCCATCGTTGAAGCAGATGTTCCAATTGTTGAAGTAGTTGTTTTACTTGCTGTAGTTGTCAGCATTGGAGCTGGAGTAGTTGTTGCTGAAACGACACATCGTAAATATAACAGAGTACATTTTTGTTTATATCTTGATTGACTTTTTAATTAAAATTGGCAAAGGGAACAACACCTCAGTAAACGTATAATATACTGTGGTCACTGCCAATATACTGTCTTCGTAAATTTGACAGACGCCATCAAGAGTTGGTGTAAGACAGCAAATATGTTCCAATTGTCGTAACTACAATCCAGTCTCCCTTATTCTCTTCGAAGTATTTTCGGGCTTCTACTAACATGAACAACACGACGGGTGCCACTTGTGGAACAGGACGAGAAACACTTATGAATCACATCAACAAACATCAACCAATGAACAACAGGTTCCTTAATTAGGACAAATACAAACAAAAGCAGCGCGTTTAAACGTTTTAACAGGCGCAAACCTTCACCCTTACCTGAAATAATAGTGTAACATCACAACATAGAAATACACACTATAAATTATCAATTGAAATAGCTTAACTCTATCAAAAGACATATAATAACAAAACAAATAAACATACCCTGAATAAATGATCTATGACACAGTGTAAATACAAAATTAATAAAAAAAAACCGGGGAGTGAGATGTAAAATAATATCAGAAAGACAACTTTAACCTTGGAAAAAAAATTCCGTGAAATTGAATAATGTACACAGGTAAATAAAAATACTTTTGTTGAAAGGAGTACTAACAAAGAGTGAAAATATATCGTCATATTATAAATAGTGAGACGAGGTATAACACAAAATAAGAAAACATTAAATAATAAAAATGCATTAAAAATTGTACCAACAGGTCAAATTAACACGAAATTATGATTTGCGAGTACTCGCAGCTAGTGAAAGCTACTTAAAAGACAAATGCAATTAATAGTAAAAATCATTTATTAGGGACTAAAATCAACTAAAACAAATCCCAGATAGTTGGTGTTTTAGCGTCTTAATGACAAAATAAAAGTGTCGACAGGCTGTAGAATAGTGATATTTTAACTTTTCATCAATATATATATAATGTTATACATAGATAAATTAATCTCTTTATAGAAAATTAACCCGGATGTGTTGTTATACATCACATGAAAAAGACATTTGAAAATAATACAAATTTAGTTATGTTTTAATGTCATGAATGTGTTGATTACAAAATCGATATATGTGCCAATGTAAACAGTATTCAAAGATCTAATTACAATATTGATAAGATAACCTTTTCTCAAATATTGTTCAAAGGTCCGATGAATCTACACGGATCACATAGTGATGTCTGCGCTATAAGAACAATATTACCGTAACATTGAGGATGAGAAGTACCGTTTTTAATAAGTTATGTCTGTGAGAAGAAGAAATTAGTGTTTGAACAATTCAACATTTGAACAGTAAATTTACAGCAATAAAAACATATCAATAAAGGCAACAGTAGTATACCGCTGTTCGAAAGTCATAAATCGATTGAGAGAAAACAAATCCGGGTTACAAACTAAAACCGAGAAAAACACATCAACTATAAGAGGAAAACAACGAAACAACAGAAACACTGAAGTGCAACAAAAGACCAAACGACAATGTAACACACACAGAAACGAACTATAAGATAACAACTGCCATTTTCCTGACTTGGTATAGGACATTTTAAGAAAAAATGGTAAGTTGAACCTGGTTTTGTGGCTAGCCAAACCTCTCGCCTTTATTGTAATGTTAAATATAGCACTAAAATGACAACATTACATGACAGGACTACAGTCAAGATAAATGCAAGAACATTCAATGTAATTGGATATCTACTCTTAAGTGCTGACCACTAGTTTGATGATTCTATTGGGAATGAAATGTCCATGAGCTCTGACATCGACCAAGCTCATAAAAAACACGGTTTATGATTATCAGTGGCGTATGAGTTTTAACAAATCTGGAAAACAAAATCAAAATGAATTTGGAGACCTTAAACAAATTGAAAATTCCGACATGAAAAGGTTCTGATGGAATTATTTATGTATGTTTCATTATAATACGTTATTTTGATTGGCTACAGCCCTTGGATGGTGTAAACTTCCCAAAAAAACTTGTATGGTGTAATGGTGTATGGCGCAATGGTAGAAGATGTATGATGATATGGTGTACGGTGTTAGAGGAATGGTGTAATGGTATATAAGGAATGGTGTGATTGTGTAACGTGTTTATAAAGTGTGGTTATCAAAGTTTAAAACTATGCAAAATATTGATAAGAACTGATTTTTAATTTTATACATTAGTTTACAATATTGTGATCAAAATTTGTTTTTTTAAATAAGTAAATGATGTTGTAGTCGCACGCTTTCTTTGAAATTAATTTGCATTATGGGTAATTTCGGATGGTGCAGATAGAATGTGTAAGGTGTATGGTGCAAAGGTGTAACGTGTATGGTGTAATGGCACAGGGTGTATGGTGTAATGTTGTATGGTGAATGGTGTAATGGTGTAGATGTTAGTGAGAAGTTTACACCATCCAAGGACTGTAACATCAATCTTGTGTCATTCTGACAATTAACATTCATTTCAAAATGAATTGACAATGTATTATTTCTCATGTTTATGGTGACACACGTTTCCACAATAAAGTGCATATATATATATATATAAATATAGGTATATAAAGGAAAAACTTGATTGCAATCGTGTCTTCATAATCGAAGCGAAAACATCTTATAATAAGTATTTAGTAATTTCATTGGGGCGTAAAAGTGTTGACCAAAGTACATTTTGTACGAAGCGCGAGCGCTTCATTCAAAAATGTGCACACGGTTTTCAGTGCTCATAAATATGTAGACTAAACGCACATATGGAGTACTAACCTTTCAACCTAGTATTAGGGAATAATTTACAAAAAGAAGCATTCCATTTTTGAAATAGGTTTTTGTCAAATTATATGTCAATCATGTCTATTCTGGTATGTATCGAAAAGTAAATATAATAATTTATTTTCAGTACCAGTCATTGTAACTTGTCCATTGCTCCCAGTCATTGTTCCGGTCCCTGTTCCGCTTGGTCCTACATACCTTCCAGTGTAAACAAATCCACCAGCTAAAATTAATAAATTTGATTATTGATAGTGAGTTCATTTTGTTGTGTATTTGAGGTAATATGAGACAGTTGAACCTATGAAAAAGGATGTACACATAACTTTTTCGATATTGTTTTTTTTTTAAAAAAAGGGCATATTAACTCATTTATTATTTTCAAATTGTACAAATTATGACTTTATAAAATACAAAAAAACAAAAAACTATCATTAAAACAAATATTCGTCATTTTTGAGATTCACTTCATTATTAGCTACAAGGCTAAAAACTTGGCAATATCCTTATCAATTTTGAGGCAAATATTGTTTACTTTACAGTCGTATATAGAAAAAAGTACTGGACTAATTCTAATGTATATTGATTTATTTTAATTTTTTTCTACTATTAGAGAGGAATGTGTCCATATAAAATCAGTCATTCATGTAAACGTGAAAAATAAGATCAATCAGACAGTAAGAAAGAAGAATAGATTCTTGTTTAACTAAATTTCTAACATCAGTGAGGACTTTGCTAAGTTTTGAAAATATTCCCAAGATGCACAGATATAGACGGTTGCTGCTCAAAAGGTAGCTATCAAAATAATAGTTCCAAAAGGTGAAGTTTTGCTTACTAGTCTTTAGTTTTCTATGTTGTGTCTTGTGTACCATTATTTGTCTGTTTGTCTATTTTTTTTTAGCCATGAAGTTTGCAGTTTATTTTCAATCTATGAGTTTGAATGAACATCTAGTATCTTTCGCCCCTCTTTTATATTGATTATCTGCTGTGAATTCCTTTTTGTTTTGCATTTTTACAAATCATATTCACTATCACAAAATGACCTAACTTCTATCTATTTTCATCTTGTTCTAGTTTCACATACTTACAACATAAACACGTTTTTGCACAATTATCTTTGACCCATTCCGTATATTTTGGATTAGTACATGTCTGACGTGCATAAGTGGCACAGTCACCTCTTTTATCGACGCAACCTACTGCAAAGAAAACCCTGTCTGAATTATAAAGTGTTGCCATCATCAGATAGATGAATAGTGACTATAAGAACAACAGCAGTTTATCAATTATCTAGACTCGTAAATCTATTTGGAATATATGCATTCAAAGATAAAAACAGTAATCAGTTAAAAAAATGTCACAATTAGCAACAGAAACAGACGGTTAATTTTCAGATACCATAACTATTTTGATGTTTAATTAAAATCTATTACAGCAAACCATCAAAGAATTGATTATAGTATATTGTACTTATGTGTACTTTTTGAACCGGTGTATTCCTAAGGCTCATTCTGATGGTGCTGATATTTCCCTATTTATTCCCTATGCCCATGTCTGAAGTGACGTCTTATATTTCAATGTACATTATATCGGTGTAACACACATGTAATTGAGTCAGGCATGGCATCATGTACATGCTGTACGTGCGATTTGAATTTAAAAAAAAAATAGATACAAAAATGATGTTTTACGACAAGCTTTACTTGTTAAAGTATACGGCATATCATATTTCAATGTCTTCAATTTTTTCATAGAGCCCCTTAATTTAGATACGATCCATGTGATATTCATTAATACTTTGATGAAATTATTGTTAAAGGTTATCAATTAACCACCCTGATGAGTTTTTGAATATTATTTTATTGATACCAATAAACATTTTGTCATGCTTGTTTTGGATTGACCAAATCCTTACTAGATACTGTGGATTCATTTATTTTCGTAGGTACCGGTTTTTATGGATTGAGTAAAACTTGTATTTTCGTGCATATATGAGATTTCTTGGTTTTTCAATTTCTGCAAACAAAATATATAGAAACTTTGAAATATATTCATGTCAACACCGAAGTGCTGACTACTTGGCTGGTGATACCCTCGGGGACGAAACGTCCATCAGCAATGGCATCGACCCAGTGGTGTAAATATTTATCAAAGGTACCAGGATTATAATTTAATACGCCAGACGCGCGTTTCGTCTACGTAAGACTCATCAATGACGCTCAGATAAGAATAGTTATAAAGCCAAACAAGTACAAAGTTGAAGAGCATTGAGGACCCAAAATTCCAAAAAGTTGTGCTAAATACGGCTAAGGTAATCTATTCCTCGGATAAGAAAATCCTTAGTTTTCCGATAAATTCAAAGTTTTGTAACAGGAAATTTATAAAAATGACCATATAATTGATATTCATGTCAATACCGAAGTGCTGACTACTGGGCTGATGATATCCGCGGGGACGAAACGTCCATCAGCAGTGGCATCGACCCAGTGGTGTAAATATTTATCAAAGGTACCAGGATTGTAATTTAATACGCCAGACGCGCGTTTCGTCTACGTAAGACTCATCAATGACGCTCAGATAAGAATAGTTATAAAGCCAAACACGTACAAAGTTGAAGAGCATTGAGGACCCAAAATTCCAAAAAGTTGTGCCAAATACGGCTAAGGTAATCTATTCCTCGGATAAGAAAATCCTTAGTTTTCCGATAAATTCAAAGTTTTGTAACAGCAAATTTATAAAAATTACCATATAATTGATATTCATGTCAATACCGAAGTGCTGACTACTGGGCTGGTGATACCCTCGGGGACGAAAAGTCCATCAGCAGTGGCATCGACCCAGTGGTGTAAATATTTATCAAAGGTACCAGGATTATAATTTAATACGCCAGACGCGCGTTTCGTCTACATAAGACTCATCAGTGACGCTCAGATAAAAATAGTTTTAAAGCCAAACAAGAGAATTGAGGACCCAAAATTCCAAAAAGTGCCAAATACGGCTAAGGTAATCTATTTCTGGGATAAGAAAATCCTTAGTTTTCCGATCAATTCAAAGTTTTGTAACAGGAAATTTATAAAAATGACCATAAACTCGTAAATCTGTTTGGAATATATGCATTTAAAGATAAAAAGTATACTCAGTAAAAATGTCACAATTGGATACAGAAAACAGACGGTCAATTTTCAGATACCAGAAGTATTTTGGTTTTTAATTACGATCTGATACAGCGAACCTTCAACGCATTGATGATGGTATCTTGCACTAATGTGTACTTTGTAAACCGATTTATTCCTTAGGTTCATTCTGCATTTTTTGTTCTGATAGTACTTATATTTTCCAATTCATTCCCTATTCCCATGTCTTAAGTAACGTCTTATATTTCAATGTAAATTATATCCGTGTAACAAACATGTAATTGAATCAGGGATGACTTCATTTACGTGCGATCGAATTAAAAAAAAATATAGATAAAAAAAAAGATGTTTTAAGTTAAGCTTTACTTATAAGTATCATATTGTAAACGGTATATCACATTTAAATGTTTACGTTTGCTTTTATAGAGCCTGTTAATTTAGATACGCTACATGTGTACCTCTTGAATCTTTTGATGACATTATTTATAAAGGTTATCAATTAACCACTCTAATGAGTTTTTGAATATTATTCTATTGATACCAATATACAGTTTGTCTTATTTGTTTTGGATTGATTAAATTATTACTAGATACTGTGGATTCATTTATTTTCGTTGGTACCCATTCTCATGGAGTGAGTAAAACTTGTATTTTCGTGGTTTTCCAATCTCTGCACACAAAGCCTAAAGAAACTTTTTAATATATTGAACATTTGAATTCGTGGTGTACCTGTTCCGACGAAACCCATTAAAATTGGTATCCAACAAAGGATAATGAATCCACAGAACGTTAAAGAGTTATTAAACTTATTATTCTACATCCTGTCAATACTATGTACGCATAGCATGGCATTGTACAAGGTCATGCTTTAATCAGACTGTGTGTGAAGTTTTTGTTGTTGGTCCGTTGGATATGTACTGATTGAATGTCTTTAGGATTCAATAAAAAGCAAGTTAAAAAAAAACAATACCGGTTGATGTTCCAGATCCACTAGGTCCTACATAACTTCCAGTGTAATAAGATCCGTCTGCTAAAATTGACAAATTTCTATATTGATAGTTAGATAATTTTCTTGTGTGTTCAAGCTAGTTAGAAACCTATGAAAAGAGTTGTACAAATACCTTATATGATTTGATTTTTACAAAATTAAATGTACTTACTCGTTTAATTGTGTTCAAATTGTACAAATTATGACCCAAAAAAAATACCCCCCCAAAAAAAGCTACACTATTAGTAAAAAAAATTCGTAACTTTTGAGATTCAATACATCATTGACCGAAAGGCTAAATATTGGACAATATCTTAATCAATTTAAAAGCAAATAGTGTTTGCTATACAGTTATATTGTAATGACTATTTGAACTGTACTAGTTAATATCTTTTGATTTAATGTTTTTACTTTTGTCAAGTGATATTGATTTTTGTTTTAACTGAATTTCTAACGTCAGTGAGGACTTTGCTAAGTTTTAAAATTATTCTCAAGATGTAAAGGACTGATATAAATTTCCTTTTTTTTCTCTCCAATTTTTACAAATCAGATTCATAATCACAATATAAGTTACACAGTGTGCAATTGTCCAAATACGAGAATTTCATTGACCCAATATATTCCGTACAGTGTGCATCGAAAGTATCCTGATTTTGTTATATTATAAATTTATATATTCAAATTCAATTATTAGGACAATATCAACCAAATATATTTAGAAATTTAATCTTAAACTGTGAAGAATGAAATATATTAGGACTATAAAGCAACTAAAAATAGTTTGTTTTCAGGTCAATTGAACATGTATAAGGGAGATAATCCCAATTGACGTAATGATGATGATGGAAATTTTAACGACCTTGTCGGGTTATACAGCCCTTGCACGGTCAGTATTGACGTAATAAAGAATTGTACTGTAATTTATTAGGACAATATAAGCCAATCAAATTACGAGAAATTAATGTAAATCAGGATAAAATAACTTAACTTCCATCTATTTTCATCTTGTTCTAGTTTCACATAAGCACGTTCTTGCACAATTATCTTTGACCCATTCTGTATATTTCGGATCAGTACATGTTCCATCACGTGCATAATCTGCACAGTTACCTTGTTTATCGACGCAAGCTACTAGAATTATAAAGTGTTGCCACCGTCAGATAGATGTATAGAGACAATAGAAACAACGTTAGTTTATTAATTATCCAGAATTATTCTTACCGATACTCAAAAGTCAAAACTTCAGAAGAAAATCAATTTTCACGCAAAATGCTGTTCCCGATGACGACTTTAGCAGGAAACCAACAAATATGGCATTTACGGAAAAGACACAATTCCGTCTGAGATCACCCCGGTTTTTATGGGTTTGTGTTGCTCAGAATTTAGTTTTCTGTGATGTGTTTTGTAGACAATTGTTTGTCTTTCGGTTGTGTTTTCCCCCGTTTATTTGGTATTGTATTGTCAATTTCTTTTCAACTTATAAGTAAAGACAACAATAGTATATCGCTGTTCAATAGACATCATTCGATTAAGCAAAAACAAATCCGGGTAGCAAACTTAAACCGAGGGAAACACTTCTTTTATAAAGGAAAATCAACGGAACAACATAACCAATTAACTACAAACCAACGACGACAACTGTCATATTCCTGACTTGGTACAGAACATTTAAAAAAGGGAAGGATTGAACCTGGTACTATGGCTAGCCAAACAATTTGTTCATATAGCAATGTTAAGAAACCTCTAAATGTCTACGTATCAGGAATACCTAACAGACAAGAACACTCAGCACACAGAAATTATAATAAATAATAATAATATAGTACATTACAACCTGTAAACCGCAGAGTGACAACGGACATCTTCAAGGAATTAACGACAACACACCAGGACACCAACGGAATCTCAACAGCGAGGACACCAACGGAATCTCAACTGCGAGTCTCATTAATGGATCAACGTCACAAAAAGTGAGGTATGTTTTGTGACGTTTATATTATCACAGGTGATATATATACATATACTAGTAGTTTATTTATCCCTTATGTATCTCCCGGCCTTTTTAATGTCAATAAAAGTATAGCATGTACTTTCAACA